TTCTTAATACACTTCGGTAATAAATTCAGTGGCAGAATTCAATGAAAGCATCAGTTCCAAGAGATCTTGCATTTGTAATTTAGTGGTCCTGTACATATTGTAGGCCTTTCTAAATAAACTTTGCAAAACATTAATTCAAAAAGGTGCTTTTGATCACCCATAAAGTCCTATATAGCACAGGTCCTGGACATTTCAGAGCCACCTAACTCTAATTATATACAATATGTCTATATTACAAGATCCAGTAAGGCATGTTCTGGGTTGCATCAATGTTATCTAATGGGACATGAAAGTCATACCTTCTCTATTACAGCACCTGCCCATGGAATAGTGCCTCCCCCCTTTGGTTAGCTCCAACTCTTTTCGCCTTTAAGAAGGCCATGGTTTTTCCCTAAAGCTGTAAGCCACAATGATATATAAGCCCATTGAAAACACATGAGGTCTGCATTTTCATAACCTTGACTTGTTTTGTTATTAACTGATGTTCTTATACCGTGATGTTTTTAACACTTGCTAGCCTACCACAGTTACGGCAAATACAAAGGCATAATTTGAGCCAATACTTCTTTCAACAGTTGTTCAAAAGAGAGTAAACAAGGATCATATTCCAGAGGCTGGGATTGTATCCAAATGATAAATTTGAGTACCGATCTATACACTGGTTGCTTATTGTAGTATTTATACATCTCCAATTCAGTTAAATATTCTAAGATTACTGCTATTCAGGTGACAGTTTACTTTATAAAATTATAGTATTTTTGATTGCAGAATTACAGAATTTGGATTACAGAAGTAAGAATTAGAGCAACACTCAGGAATGTACAGGAAATTTTGTCATCAAGTAAGATTTATTATTTCTTCATTTATTAGATTTTTGTGATCTATAACTGCAGGGAGCTACAAACAAAAGCAGGATATTAAGTGTAAATTATCAAATGAATAGAGAATTGTAGGGGAAAAAACTATATACATCAGCCTAAATAGCTTGGAATAAAAACAAATGATTTTATAAAAGTTTAATAAAAATAGTATTTTAATGTTTTAAATTCTTATGATTATCTTCTTTGCATATATATCTATACGCTCCTTCCTTCCTTCCTTCCTTCCTTCCTTCCTTCCTTCCTTCCTTCCTTCCTTCCTTCCTTCCTTCCTTCCTTCCTTCCTTCATTTATTTATTTATTTATTTATTTATTTATTTATTTATTTATTTTATTTATTTATTTATTTATTTATTTATTTATTTATTTATTTATTTATTGGTTCGATTTATATGCCACCCTTCTCCGGAGACTCAGGGCGGCTTACAATGTGTTAAGCAATAGCCTTCATACTTTTTGTATATACCTGCTTAGTAGGGCTTTCGGGCCCCCCCTAAGCGGTGTTCTTTTTATACAAAGTCAGCTTATTGCCCCCACAATCCAGGTCCTCATTTTACCTACCTCAGAAGGATGGAAGGCTGAGTCAACCTTGAGCCTGGTGAGATTTGAACTTGCAGTAATTGCAGGCAGTTGGCAGCTAAGTGCTACTTAACAGCACTTTAGTCTGCTCTGCCACCAAGGTTCCTTAACCTTATCCAGGTTGCTTTGATAAACACACACACACACACACACACACACACACAAGGCTGATTATATATGTGTGTGTGTATATATATATATATATATAATCAGCCTATTATTGACTGTTCTTGCGGGTTTGATAGATTACCGTTTTCCAAAATGGTCAATATTGATGCCTATGGGGCTATCTAAGGAATATTATTATTTTATTATTATTTGTAGAACTATAAGTAGTATTTATTACACTATTTTCATATAATAAATGTTTTGGGGAGCAGCAATGAGCAATCTGAAATTTCATGAAGGAGTCAATGATCTGAAGAGTTTGGATACCCTTGTGATAATCAACTGAGCAGATCTTTCCTGAACTGCCAAATGTCATATTAGCTAAATGGCATTTTATTTTAGTGGCTGTTCTTCTTACTGAAGTTAGCTTTGGAGGTAGGAATTGCTAAGTATACTTATGATTTCCCTGTTTTTTGGCATTTCCCTAGTCCAGCTCTTTTGTTTCTCACACCCATAAGGTATTGCACCTCTGTAGTGGATATAGCAAAGAATTATTCTAAGCACACTTACATGGAAGTAACTCCTACTAAATTCTATGTAATCTACCTTTAAATAGAAAGTGCAAGATTCTATTGTAAATATCTCTCTCTGGAAGTGATTACCATATCCTTATGAATTTTATAATAAGAAAAGTTAACTTTATTTTTATGTTATTTATTTTACTGGGCTCAATTTTTTACTGGACTATTCCAATTAAAACCAACACTGAGCAACCCAACCTTAATACATTTTATCATAAAATAGCAAAGCCTAAAAAAAACTCTCTCTCCCTCCCTCTCCCTCTCCCCCTCTCTCTCCTAATCCATTCAACAATGTTATGCATCTTTTATTCTACAGTATTTTACTGTCCATCGATTCAACAGTTTCTATTTGTAGAAAAAAATTGCTAATAGATATTTTAACAAAATCAGTAAGCCTCTCTAAGGCTTTAAACAAATGTATGGCTGAATCAGTTTTCACCCAAGACTACATTTCATCAGATCCATCAACAACCAATGAAGAGTAGCAGCATTGCATGCTAAGACTAAGTAAGATGTCAATGGGCAAGATGAGCAATAATCTTTCTTAAGATCTGGTGGCGCACCTTAAAATGTTATTCAAAATGCATTTATCTCTAAAGTGCAATCCTTTATAATTTGGCTGTTTTACATATGCTTAATACTTCAAAATCTTATTTCCTAAACTGGCACCCATGCATTAATGAATCATGAAATTCCATACAACTTGTATTAGGTAATTTCTATGCATAATTACTGTTTTTCTCCTCCAAATCTCTGAGAATTTGAGCCTCCACAAACAAGATTTTCAACATTAGTATATAATGGCAGAATACATGCAGAAAGATGCAGAACACTGAGACAGATACAACTGGGAGAAAAAAACCATCATTAAAACCCAATGCAAGGATGCAATCCATATTTCACCGAGTTCACTGAACTGAACCTTCAGTGTCAGTAGTCTGTTTACAATATAGTGCAAAACTAGACTTGATAATAGCAATTTGTGAACAGTTTAGGACAGACTGTTTTAAACCATGATCATTTTCTCACCTTCTTAAAATTTGAGAAAAGCAGTCACAGGATAGAAATGGAAAGTTTTGAAACACTTTTCGTTCAATCAAATAATCTACTCTCTTACCAAATATGAAGCAATGTGGCCTCAAACTCTTTTCTTCTGCAGGGAAAACATGCATACTTAGATGTGAGCAGTGTGTATGTGTGTACATGTGTGTGCATGTGTGTGTGTGTGTATGTGTGCATGCGTGCGTGGGTGTGTGCTTTCAAGTCTATTTCCAAATCTCTTGTGTCACATCCAGTTTAGCCCATATGGCTTGGACTCCTCAGCTTCTAAACAGATCCCTATATTTAATTTCCCTTAATCACAGTTCCCATTCTGATTACTGCTGCACTTCCTAAAATGTCAATGCTTGAGGGACAGGGAAAGAGAAAAATATGAAATGGCAGAGGAGAAAAACGGATTGGTAGTTGGGACAAATCTGCAAATGCAAGTTCAAATTCAGCCAGGTCATAAAGTTCAACATTAATAAAAAAATTGCTGAATCTTGCAGTATGATCCTCAGTATATTTACTCTGAACTGACAATATTTTATGGGATTATTCCTTAATAAATACAACAACAACTGCAGTCTCTGAGTTACAGAGCTAATATAGGATGCCCAGACACTCTATAATGATTCATGAGCCCTAGAGAACTGGAAAAAAAGAAAGATAAAATAATATAGAGAAACATAATTAGCTGGCATAGTATGGAAAAAGGCAGTTTACTCAAAATTTATCTATGCCATGGGCACAAAACACCAACATTACACCACATCCCTGATTGATGACAGGGAGTTCAATCTACTGGGGAAATCTACATAACAAGTCTCCTTAAATGGGATTGTCAATTCCTATTGATTATCGCTTAAGTAAAATTCCTGGTGGATCAAGATTAACCTGACTAAGGCTATGTTTCAGGACACCCCAAACCTACCCACTCTGATATATTTCCTGACAGTTGTCAGTGGATGCTGTAAAAAGCATTTTTGCAATTTTCTGCAAAGAGAAACTTGGGGCTACAAACCAGACTGGGTAGGGATGGACTGGTCCCAGTAGGTTTTAAAGGAAAGGAGGCGCAAAGAAGCAAAGAGATCTGGCACAGCTCTCTCTTGTAGGAGGGATCCAGTGGCTGTTCTCTGCTGAGGCGTGGGCAGCAACTACAAAGGAGGGAGGGAGAGAGGGACGTGCAGCTATCACTGCAGAGAGATAGATTCTGATGTTACTAATTGTAATGAGGAAGAGAGAAAATTAACAACTCCCTCCAACCTCTGTGGCCTTGCCTTTGATTTTTTTTCAGGTTTATAGAAGTGTAAGGTGCGGGGACCATCCACCGCTCCATCTTTCCACCCCCCCCCATAAGGGCATCCCTGTGGTGGAAGCTGTCAGGTGGAAGCATATCCACACACACCTTCTCTGCGAACCATCCCACACACAAAAAAAGCGCATTGTGGGCTTCCGGGAAAACCTCTCGGTGCCAATCACTCAGCTAAGAAATTCCCTCCAGGGGGCAGAGAAGGCAGAGCGAGGGTAAAAAGCCACATCCGGGGGGGGGCTGCCAGGAAGGGACGGACAGCGCCTTCCGAGGGGCAGAGGGTCCCCCTCTCCGCGGTCCTGGCGCAGAACTCGCTCTCTGCCCAAAATCGAGACAAGGACGCGCGCTCCGCCTGGACCGCCGCACGTCTTGTGCGCTTCACCGCATCAGGCCGTGCCCTGCCCAGCTTCCAGGACCGAAAGGGCGGCCAGATCTACGCCTGCCTGAGCCCGAAAGGGAAACTGCGGCAACCTCCATCCTCGTCTCATCCACGCCCCTCCTTACCTACTGTCCTGGAGCCGATGCAGCCCATCCTTCCGCCCAGCGTGGCTCCTCCAGGAGGAGGGAGCGGTGGCGAGCGGAGAAGAAGGAGCAGCCGTCGCCGCAGGAGCAGCAGCAGCAGCAGCAGCCTGCGCACCGAAGCAGAAAGCGGGAGCGTGGCCGCGCTGTGGAACGGAATTCCCGTCACGGCGAGTCCCCAAGGCAGCCCTCCCGGGGCCGGGTGGAGCTCCTCATCACTACGCTCAGGTGCGGGAGAGCGCTCCGAGCCAGGGCTGCGGCAGGCAGCGCGCGACGCCTGGAGGGAGAGGCGCCAGAGCCGCTTGGCCGACGGACCCGCCGCTGCCGCCTCCCCTCAGCCTGGCTGGGCGAAGAAGGATGCTCGCGGGGCTGACAAGGGAGACGGGTGGGCGGGGGAGGAGGAAAAGGAGCGCCGAGATTGGGTAAACAGCTCGGGAGCCTTGCGCGGCGCTGCCATTGGCTGAGTCGGAGCCGCGGCTGAAGGAAGGAGGCAACGAGGAGCCCCCGCGCTGCCGCTTCGGCTACGTGTGATGCTCGGAGCAGCAGCAAACAAACCAGACGTTCTGACACCCGCCCATTCGCCCCGGGTTGCGGCGGCGATAGGGGGAGTGGCGCTGCAAAGCGGAGAACTTGCATTCACGACTTGCAAAGCGGCTCCGGTGCCGGAGCGGTCATTCTGAGGCACCCTCCGAGGAAAGAAAGGGCGTGGAGGATGAACCGGCGAGAGCTAAATCGAGGAGTCCGACCTGGGATTCGCGGGACGAAGCGTTGGGTTCAAAAGAAGTCCCTTCGTTTGCCCCGGGTGAGCATGCAGAGGATGGCAGCCGGGAAAGGGAAGGCGCAAACTGCCATTCTATGCAGCCTTACCTGGGATTAAGCCCTCTTGAACCCAACGGGATTCGCGCCGTGTGCGGAGCAACCTCGCTGCAAAACTCCGCACTGTGCTGCGCGCTCTGCTTTAGAGTAGGGACAGCCCGGTTCGCCCGAAGCGACCAGCAGACGAGGCGCTCTGAAAGCCCGTCTCGCGCTCCTCCTCCTCCTCCTCCTCCCCGCCCGGGTCCCCAAGGGCTTCGTGTGCGCAGAGCCTCCCAGCGTTTGCCAAGGGGAATGGCAGCAGCGCCTCGGAGCACGCGCCTCAACCGCATTGCCTTGCGCTACACTGCATCGCTTTTTACGCGCGCTTGGGGAGCTCCGATGGACGGAGGGAGACCCTTGCGGAGACGCGGCGGTACGATAAGGGCGGTAGAGGCCGAAGGAAGAGAGTGAGAGGGAGGGAAATTCAAGTAAATTCGGCCGAGGATACCGGGGAAGGAGGCGAAGCGAGACCGAAAAGGGTGAACAAAGGAGCTGAGCTGGTCGGCGACGGACGGGTACGGGTGAACGGAGGCCCCCAGGTGCCTCCACGCAGAAATATCTGCAGCCGCTTGCATGGAGAGGGCTCCTCACACTCGCGATCCTGTCTTCTCTGCCTTCCCCGGAGGAGATGGAGGAGGATCGGGCCCTCCAAGCAATAGGAATAGCGGAGAGCTCCCCACATGAACAGAGCAGAAACTTTTATTTCCATCTTTGGCCAATAAAAATACATTCTATAAGACAAGGGAACCAAAATTGTCCCAAAGGTGCTTTTTCAAGAGGCAAAAGTGCTTCTTCAGAGCTGAAGAAGGTTCTTGGATGAGAAGTGAAAGTCTTCAAAGAAAAAACAAAGTCCAGTTGCCTCTCGAAAAAAGCACCTTTGGGACAACCATGACCTGGATGACTGAAAATCTCCATAGACAAATCAAAATTATCCCTTAACATCAGTAACTGTCAGCAACCATTTGTGGGGGAAGCTTATACACAACATCACAATATTTTGCTACTTTTAGATAAATAAATTTATCTTCATTGTTTAACAGGTAATACAAATAATAATTATCAGAGTGCCCTGGAAATTTAAATAAAAAGGAGGTAATCGCTGGTGGCACATATTCTGTAGAGCTGTGGTTTCTATGGCACCGAGTACCACGGCTGATATTAAGTTTTACGTGAGTTTTCCTATATTTAACTATCATTATTATGAGAAAAGGCGGCAGTTTCTGTTTGGCCTTCTGTATTGTAAGATCCTCTGCTTTAATTTGATCTAGCTTGATCTGATCCTAAAATTAGGATGGCGGAACCATAAAGGTTTCTAGAGAAGCTGGATCAGTAAAAATTATGTGATTGTATAATTAAAATAATAGTATTGTGTGATCAGGTTCCAGTACAGCATGATTATATACATTATGAGCATTAATAACCAAATCTTAGTGCCTATACCAGATACATATTTATATCATGGTCTCCAAATTCAGGAGAGCCTTTTATTTAGCTGGATTTAATGCTTTCTCAACTGTTTTGGAAGGGAAATTTAGGAAAACCCCATATGAAATCCAATATTACCCCTGTGACTCAGGCACCATAGAAATCACAGCCCATTTTCTTTTGTAATGTCAGTTCTACAGAGACATTTGTCACTCATTGATTGCCCTCTTTTTATTCAAATTTTCTAGAGCACTCTGATGATTTTTATTTGCATTATCTCTTAAACAACCAAGATAAATTTATTTCTGCAAAAGTAGCAAATGTCTACAATATTGTGTGTAAGCTTCACCTACAAATGGTTGCTAACAATTTGATGGTATGAGATAATTTTGCTTTGTGTATTTTATAGAATGTATTTTTATTGATCAGTGACCAAAATAAAGTTTCTGTTCTGTTCTGTTCTGCCCTCATGACATGACCAGAAGGAGAGCTTTCATGTTTACACATGGTTGAAAGAGAAGCATCTGTTGCAGCAAAAACAAATGTCAGAGACAGATACAATCGTTTTTTAGATGCCCCAGAAAGTTTGGTTATTGATTGCACTAAAGTGACATACAGGCTGCCTTGCAGAGATTTTTTTTTGGTTTTTTAATTATAAATGGTATGAATAATTCTACCTCTCAATCACTCACCAGTCTCCTCACCACATCAGCTTCCTCCTCCTCTACTTTTCCAACAACTTTGTATATATAAAATGTTCTTCTCTCAGGAGCTTATTTCATACATCTGCTGAAGTAGAGTGTATAATCATAAATAAAAATGCAAAAGACTAAGGCAGCTAATTCTTGCCAAACAGGTAAGTGGTGGCAAAAACTGCCATGACTAGACCTGGCCAATGGGATGTCCCTACTACTGATAGTTAGCTGAAGTTTGGCACTACAGACTTACCACCACAATTGAGCCCAAAATTTCTGTTGTTAAGTGAGACATTTGTTAAGTGAGTTTTGCCCCATTTTACGATCTTTCTTGCCACAGTTGTCAAGTGAATTACTGGAGTTTTTAATTTAGTAACATGATTGTTAAGTGAATGTGGCTTCCCCGTTAACTTCGTTTATCAGAAGGTCACAAAAGGTGATCACATGATCCCGGGACACTGCAACCATCATAAATATGAGTCAGTTGCAAGCGCCTGAATTTTCGTCACGTGACCATGGAGTTGCTGCAATAGTTGTAAGTATGAAAAATGCTCATGTGACTTTTTCAGTGCCATTGTAACTTCAAATGATCACTAAATGAACTGTTGTAACTCAAGGACTACCTGTATACTATACCAAAAAGAAAGAACTATGCCATTTTCTCCCCCACAAGGAAGAGAAAAGTATAAAAACCGAATAACAGTTTTCCATGATTAAAATTCCAACAAACTGAAAACAGCACCAGGATTAACACACAATCACACATACCCATGAAGCTCATAATAGCAAAAACAAGACCACAAGATCCAGACTTCTGTTCAGACAGAAATATTTTCATCTGTGGGTTGAACCAAAGGAGGAAGATGACCTGACATCTTAGGCCACAAACACCTTGTATAAGATACATCACACAATATTATTACAATTAACTGTAATTAAAAGTGATGGCATGGCCAGGATAAAATGCTATGGCTGTGTCAGATATACCTACTGTGAAGCTGCTTGCCTGCCAAGACTGGCATGGAGCAGTGCATCATCTTCATTTTAACCCCTGAAAGGGAGAAACCATCACTTAACTTGAGTTAGCACTGATTGGGTCCAACCCAGGGATGAAATTCAGCAGGTTCTGACAGGTTCTGGAGAACTGGTAGCGGAAATTTTGAGTAGTTCAGAGAACTGGCAAATGCCACCTCTGGCTGGCCCCAGAGTGAGGTGGAATGGAGATTTTGCAATATCCTTCCCCCAGGAGTGGGGAGGGAATGGGGATTTTGCAGTATCCTTCCCCTGGAGTGGGGTGGGAATGGAGATTTTGCAGTATCCTTCCCCTGCCATGCCCACCAAGCTACGCTCACAGAACCGGTAGGGAAAAATTTTGAATTTCACTTCTGGTCCAACCTATTTCCTTTTTGACTCTCCTTGGTCTAAATACAGCAACTGGAGGTGTGACTTGCTACTGGTATTAGAATGGAGGTATAACAGATAATGGGAAATGCAGTTGTGGGAGAGAGAAAACTGTTTTGTTTCTACTTCTAGTGTTACTAGATTTTGTATTTTGCAGAGTGTGTTTGTATGTGTATGTGTATGGGGGGGGATATTACAGAAATCTAATTTGTTGTTTATGAAAGATACTTGAAATGTGGTAGCAAGGGTGCTGTGGCATGGAGAAGTTAGGCTACTTATTCTAAAAGTACTGGATTAAAAATAACAGAAATTTTATTATTTTATTTTTTATTCTTAATCCCTCCATGAAAAAGTTCAGGAGTTTCTATATGCATTTTTTTAAAAACATGGGAACACATGAAAAAAAAATCCCCCATGACTGTGTTCAAACATGCAGCACACATACATGCATCCTTATATGAAAAATGTGTCTGAAATAAACTGTTAAGTAACAATACTTCTCAATGCAATGCAAGAACAAAGTTCTCAATGCTTGAAATAAGAGTTCACATTTCAGAGTGTGTCTTTAAAATCTCAATTATTGTAAATCTGCTTAATATAGAATGATCATCTTCTGTTTAAAGTTACTGTAGTTAAATTTGCAAAGCAGATAAGTATATGATTCAAGATGTATTTGGGGCAATGTCACTTGTATACGCTCTACTTTGCTTGAATAACAATTAATTTTATGTATCCACTCAAGATAGCAAAGGGGGGCTGAATTTCCCTCTTTCCTAACATTACCTTATGCACTTTGTCAAATAGTGACTTTTCTTCTTGGCTAACTTTTCTTGTTCCAGAATTGGATTATTAGGCGAAAGAAAAGATTTGGGTGATACACAATAAAGCAAACAAGGAATGAAGAATGAAACTTTCTGAGCAAGCTGACTTTGATACTGAAATCAGACTCAGTCCTGTTTCTTGTACTTTATTTGAATAAGAAAGTCATGGACAAAAGAAACATGATTATCATGTTTACCTTCGTTAAAGGTAAACCCACACTGTGACAAAGAGGCAAGGAAGAATTACTCTTGTGAGTCATTTTGCCCTTGCTTGAATACTTTGATGGTTCTCTAGAAATATCCAGCCATGTTAGTCTGTCATTTTGAGAACAACAAATGTAGCATCCTAAAGAGAGACAAATGTATTATTGCAGAAGCTTTCAGGAGTGTGTCTCTCTTCTCTCGAAAAGCACAGTCCATAATAAATGTGTTGATCATTAACATTTTATTATATGTAGCTCATGCTCCAAATGCAACCACTCAGTCCAAATTTCTGCAACCAGCTACAGCATCAAATACATTCAATGCATAAAATTAGATGAATAGATGCTAGACTCTCATAAGCCAAGTTCAACTGTCAAGCATATTTTTTGTAGCAAACACCGGATGCTTCTGTATTGTTAGAGATGGTGGATGGTGCTTATTAGTTATTGCACACACAAGTTGAAGTGCTGGAAGGCAAGAAAATGAAGACAAGCTGAACGTCAACACAGATAGAAATTGGATGTTAAGAAACTAAGAATTTTAAGTGCTGTCTTGATGCTTATCAGCTGCTCAATGTTGAGCTTGTACATTTGAGCATTAACTGCCAGGGTTGGATGATAGGCTGTGGTGCTAAAATTTGCCCT